TGTATATATATTGGCCATACAGCAGCCAATCTAAGTACAGAGATCACAGTAAAATTATTATGGGAACCCATGGTCTTCCAAGCACCATCTGAAAATGTTTCTGTTCAATATACAGTAAATACTATATATATTATTAATGTTTTAAAAAGCAATCTGCTGCAGGTGCTTGACTATATACAATTACCAATTTAAATGGAGACCTGGAAGAATTCCCTTATCGAGTGGAAATCATTGACCCTTTGCACAGTCTGCATTTTCTGTTCAGACTGGTAACATAGTGACATAGGAATAGGTGTTGAGGTTTTTGCATTTACAATTAGACCTAAAGGGACAATGACCTGTGCAGTTTTCCCTTTCCTTAACATATCTTTGCTTTTTAAACTTACCAGAAGCTAGAGCTTCCAATTAAATGTATCTTGTCTATAACAGAAACCATAATAACTCTTGAAGTAGCATGAGAGTCTCTGATCAGTGAGACTTTCATAACGCACTGAGATGGGAATTGAACAAAACTGGAGTAGACAAAATCTGGAGAAGCCGTGCATGACTCTCTCTTTCATTTTCAAATCTTAGCTGACCAAACTAAAGAGAGAAGATGATTGGTTGTCATGCACAACTGCTCCAAATTTTGTCTGCTCCAGTATTGATTAATTCCCCCATGAGCGTCTTTGTGGTCAGAGGAGCTCAATGTCTGGTTTCATTTAAGTGTAGATTGTAGACATGTCAATTCGTTTCAATCCGAATAAAAATTCGGACGAAATTTCGGAAATTCAGATGTATCTGAATTACAGATATAGCAAATGCAAGCTAATCCGAATTTCTGATTCGTTTTTTTTGGACGAACTTTCGTTTTTTGAACCAAATTTCATTGCAGCAAAGTGACATTTGAGAACAAAAAAAACTTTTTTTCCCTCTTCAATGTCACTTTGCTGCAACGAACGAACGAAACAAAACCGAAACGACATTTCATACGGATTTTCGCTAACGAATTTCGTCCGAATTCCGAAACGAATTGAATTTCGGCCCGAATTCCGAAAAACGAAATAAAGCAAAATCCGAAAATGAAACGAAACTAAACAAATTTTTTGCTGGTGCACATGTCTAGTAGAGGGCAAGGGATGGTTGTTAGGTGCCCAGGCAACCTCTGCACACTAGTCTTTTGCTTTGCCTTTGTTTTATTAATAACATAGACAGTGATGGCTAGGTTATTCCTTTGCACTTTCAAAAATGTGATTGCATATTGTAGCTAGCACAATGTGGACAACAAGGTGTACTAGAACAACAGAAGTGTCTAGAAAGAGAATAACATTGGATCTTTAGTTGTACCAGAATGACTATGTAGTAAAATCATGAATGTTGTTTTTTTGCTTATTTTTTGCTGTGAGGTCAAGGCAGTCAAAGAACTACTGAGAGGACAATATATGATGACCACTAGGCAGAAGAATATTTCTTTTTTATGTTAACTGTTCATTATGTATTTATTTATTCGGTTATTTATTTCATAGTTAGTGTACGGGAAAAATC